TCTAACAAAGCCTTGTCAATCACAAACCCTGAATTCACAGCCAAGGTATAGTGGAGGTAGCACAGCTCCCTGGGAAACAAACAGGAAAATCCAAACAGGGGAAATGCTGACATTTCAAGACCACTGGTTATCTTTGCCTTAACATAAAGTCTTTCTCTTGTTGGGAGCCCAAGTTTGTATGTATTATGTAATTAATATGGAAAGGGGATGCTGAGCTAGATGGTGAAGCCTTTAAATGACAATGTGATTTGTATTTTATCCTATAGATAAAAAGAAACCATTGGAGTTTATTCAGTCAGTCAATAAACAGTTATTAAACACCTTCCATGTGCTGGGCACTGTGTCAGGAGTTCTGTGGTCAGATCTCTGCTTCAGTTAAAGGACCAGAAACCCTCAGGTCTTGACCCTATTTACCATTTGAAACATAGATGCCTTCTGAAGGGTAGACTGCTCTTTTCTCTATTGTACTGTAAAACATAGGTATTTGCTAAATTACCTAATAAGGAAGAAGGAATGAAGAGGAGCAAGAGAAGAAGAAGAATTAGAATATAGGAATCTTAACTCTAACGGTACCATCCCAGTAAGCTGCTGACATGGGGGTAGAGGGCTGAGGCTCTACCAGCCAAACTTTTTCATCAATTGACCATCCCCCTGGTTCCAGCACCCCATCATCTACATCTAGATGCCCCAAAGGCTGATAACACTTTACAGAACAGAGAACCTTACTTCCCTAGAAATGTGTTTGAAAAAAAATTAAAAAGGGGCAGCTAGGTGGCGCAGTGGATAGAGCACCAGCCCTGAAGTCAGGAGGGCCTGAGTTCAAATCCAGCCTCAGACCGAACACTTAACACTTACTAGCTGTGTGACCTGGGCAAGTCACTTAACCCCAATTGCCTAAAAACAAACGAAAAAAAAAAGAACTGTGTTTGAGAGACGTTGTGTGTATGAGTGTCCTCTTTATCCACTGGGATTGACATTTCAGACATAGCCACAGTAGCTATAGTCAGGGGAAAGGAAATCCTCTCTTCCATTCTCTGTATCTACATATGATTCTTCACAGAATTGATGTCATTGATTTTTTTTAATCGTTTTTCCCACATCAAAAAACTTGTGTAGGCAATGTGATAACCCAGTCTCCAGCCTCCCTGTCTGTGCCTTTAGGAGAGAAAGTCCCCAACAATGGCAGGGCCAGTTCCATCACTGGAAAGTGGATAACTTGGTACCAGCAAGAACCATGACAGTCACCCAAACTCTCGATCTAAGCTGTATTCTGGGTTCCCTGCCCAGTTCAGTGGCAGTGGATCTGGGACAGATTTCACTTTCACCCTCAATGCTGTGGAAGTTGAATTTGCTGCTAATTACTGCTCTTGGAAATATAATGATGTCCATCTCCCACAGTGCTCCCACAAAAGCCTCCCCAGGCTGCTCCGCTCTGGGGAGTAGGCGCTTACTCCCAGGTCACAGGCTCAGGCAGTCTCTGTTCTTAGGGGAGGCTAGGCATTATTCACCTAATAGGAGCAAACTGGATCACTTTTCTTGAGGGATTGATGGAAAGTTAGGAGGAATTGTAAAATAAAAAGTGGGTGTTTCATTCAAACCTCAGATCATAAATCCCCCACACATGCTAATCAGTAAAATTGGTTCCATTGACAAATCTCCCCATCTCCATCCTCTTACTGTAGTGTGGACCCAATGATAGACCCTCAAGGAGTCAGTTAAGGGTATGCATTTTAAGGGTTTAATGGAAAGAGGCAGGGCTGGCACCCCTGGATGCTACTCCCCAGTTTAATACAGACATTGGCTCACGACCTCCTCTCCCAGCCATATGCTCAAGAGAGGACCAGTGTCTGGATATGGAGGGACAGCTTCTTATTCAGAGTTCAACCAGCAATTACCCTCTCTGGAGAGTTACACATTGGCTTCCAACAAAGATTGTATTCCTATCTCTGTCATTCTTGATGAATCTTCTTTTTGTTCCCTCGGAGCACAGAGCCACCATAATTGAGAATGACCTCAGTGATTCCCAGGAGACTTCCCATCTGGGAGTTTGGCAGTGCACTCTGGAATGAGGTGAGCTGTGTTGGAGTACATTGCAGTGGACAGTAAACAGGGTGGGATATTTTGTAAAGGTGACTTTTCAAATTCAGTAGAGTCTAGCCTATTGGCTGCTGATGTCTGCTAATCTTAGGTTCCCAAGGTGTCTCTTCATTGCTTTGGGTAAAATACAATTTGACTTCTTTTGAAACCACTGTGTCCATGATCTATAGTCACTTGGGCTATCTGGGAGATTATAGGTATTTAGAGAGATGGGTTTTGGAAGCAAGAATGAGCTCTGCATGAAGCTACTCAAATTCAAACCAGAGAATTCTAGTCTTAGTCATGGACTAGCTCTGTGACCTTGAAAAGCCAAGATAAGCTCCTTGATTTTCAGTTGATTCATCTATAAAAATGAGATGAAGAGACGCTGTAACTTATGAGTGAAATTGATATTTGTCTGATGCCCATTCTCTGCCTGCCACTTGCCCAGCAAGTTCTTATTAGACCCCTCCTTGCAGGGAAGGAGGGGAAAGTTGAGGCCTTTTCCCCACTCTGGCACCATGACAACTCTTTGTATTTGCAGGTAAAACAAACGTCCTGCCTAGGTGGGTCTGAGTCTAAGTTCTTTTCTCTACTGAGTATAGATAATTGAAATGTGATGCTGAGATAGATTTCTCAACCTTGGAGGCAGGCTTGGGATTTGAGAAGTCCAGGGACACTGGGTGCCTCAGACAATGTTGATTGGTAGCAGAAGAGTTCAATAAGTCCTGCACTTGGGGAATAGAACCATCAAGTAGGAAGGTCATCCCAACTCCTGGTCAGGCTTGCCCAAAAATATAGACCTCGAGGGAATTATTTACACAGTGTGAGCTGAGATGAAACATCCAATTTCTTTTCCTGCAAACTGCTACATGTTCTGCTGTTTAATTCCTACTACCTTGGGAGAGTGTAATAGTGGATGTGTTACTGTCATTCCTTGTTAAAGTCTCTTGTTGGTGAAACCTTGGAATCTATAAGTCAAACATGTCTTTTAGGTAAAGGAATCCAATTGCTGTCTTAGAACTGATTGACACAGTACCTTGAGTAGCTTTACACATTCTCTATTTTTTTGTGTGTATATTTTTTATTAATATATTTTGAATTTTCAACAATCACTTCCATAAACTTTTGAGTTTTAAATTTTTCTCCCCCTCCCTCCCCACCTCCCTCCCCAAGATTGTGCACAATCTGATATAGGCTATACATTCCTATTAAACATATTTTCACATTAGTGATGTTGTAAGTAAGAATTAGAACTAATAGGAGAAACCACCAGAAAGAGGAAACAAAACACAACAGAAGAAAAAAAATTATAGCAAATAGTATGCTTCGATCTTCATTCAAACTCCATAGTTCTTTCTTTGGATGTTAATAGCATTTTCTATCATGAGGCCTTTGGAGATGTCTTAGATCTTTGTATTGCTGAGAAGGGTTAAGTCTATCAATATTAGTCATCCCACAACGTGGCTCCAGGGACTGGGTCCCTGAGACAGCGCTAACTGGCAGCAGGAGAGTTCTCTAAGTCTGCACTTGGAGAACATAACCAGTAACTGGGAGGGCCATCCCAACCCCTGGTCAGGCTTGCCTAAAAGTATAGACCTCAAAAGGATTGTTTGCACAGTGCAAAGTTGAGATGAAATGTCCAATTCCTCTTCCTGCAAATTGCATCATGTTCCGACATTTAATTCCCTCTAACTTGGAGAGTGTAAGATTGGATGCATTACTACTATTCCCTGTTTAACTCTTGTCAATGGACACTTGGGAATTGTTCATGTTGAACATGTCTTTAAGGTAAAGGAATTCAATGGTTGTCTTAGAACTGATTTGCAAGGTACCTTGAGTAGCTTTTCATGTTCTCTATTGGGAAGCCCCAAAAAGTGAATGAAATAGGAATTTTAAGTGGATTTCCCTAGGACTCAAGGTGGATGTGAAGAGCCAGAGATTGAAGAAGGAGCCTAATTCTTCTATTGAGGGGCCATGAGACTGAACCTGTGGCCAGTGCTGAGGGTGGTCCCTCATTTCAGAGAATGCAAAAAGCCACCAGGCTTCTTGGTCCTGGAAGCAGGAGTCATTGTTTGATAAGGGCACTCAAGACCATGGAGACATTCCACAGTTTATTCAGAGATGGCTGATGATCACCTGTTAGTATGGTCCCTCTACATCCCTGCTCTCTTCTCTCAAGGATATCCCTGGATGGCCAGTTAATGGGAGATGATTAGCAGCACGTAGCTCTTGAAGTCCAAATGATCCCTCCTTCTCTCAGGATGAAGGATTTCACAGCTGTGGGAGACTGAGCAAAGGATCCAGCTGAAGCCCTGGTCAGTATTAAAGAAAGTCTGGGATCCTGAGATGTGGGGGTTAGGAAGTGGAACATTACAAGGGTTGGGGGACAGCCCGTGCCCAAACACAGAGAGGGAAGGTAAAGCCTTGTGTGTGTGTTTCCTTAGAATGTTGCCCCTTCATACCCAGGCAAGCATCAGGAAGAGCTGTCTTAGCAGACTTTACTCCTATGATTATGAGCCAATTATATGCCCAGATCTGGAGTATCTGTGTAGCACAGGGTTGCTCCTTTCCAGAATCAGTTCTTATATTTATCAGTTAAGGCACTTAATTAAGAATATCATACTTGGATTCATGAGGTATTGTATTTAAATCCTCCTCTCCCCTGAATGTTAACAATCATATAAGCTTTCTGAGCCTCCATTTCCTCCACCTTCAAGTAGAGCTAATAGGAACTCCACCTTCTCAGTGTCATTGTGAGGGTCAAAAGACCTAATGAAGAGTGGCTTACAAATTATACATTTCTGCATGTATGTGAGCTCTTGCTCTACTACTTTGCTCACCCTAGCTGGTTAGCTCATGTCCACTGTAATAATGAATGCCTCTACCTTAACTCACTCCTAGGTGATTTCTCAGGTCCCTATTCTAGCTCTAACCCTCCCTGTTGCTGGAACTTGGAAAAAGGATGAGGAAAATGAAGAATGCCTCCTGTCTCTCCACCCTCGGACCAGGAGTGGGCATCATTGTTCTTCTCCTGGTTACATTCTAGTCAGCTCACTGGTCCCATAGATGGATTCTCTGCAGCCCTTGGTGGACAGAAGGAATCCCTGAGCCCACAGCCAGAGAGCCCCCTTGTGCTGCATGACCTCAAGCTGAATCCTACAAGCCAAATTTCCTGGGACAGTTTACAGCCTTTAGTTGCAATGGAGCTTTGCTGCACTCAGCAGCATTTGGAATAAGGGTGGCAATGGATGAAAGTTGGATATTGTTTTGATTGAGAAGAAAATCTGTTGTAAGGGAGATAATTGCTGCAAGATTCAAATCAGTTCAATTCAACTCAAAAGCATTTATTGAGCACCTGATGTATAGTAGGCAGCAGGCTAGATGTCCTGAGATTCCATTTTATCAGATCAACCAAAGTGGACTAAACTTGAGGATTTCAATCATTGCTTGGCAATGGTGTGGGCAGGCTCTGGGGAAGACTTTACCTAGGAATGGCCTCAGATTTCAGGTATACACCCTTAAAGAGCCTCCAAAGTATCACAGGCATTTCTGGGCACAAATCCCTGATGGGAAGCCCTCCAAATCCCTTCTGAATTCCAATCACTTTTACCTCTGGTCAGAGGACACCAATTATCTGACAACTAGCTCTAGTTCTAATGGCTAAAGCCAACTTGAATTGTATTTGAAACATGTGGAAGGAGGGATAATATAGCTTGGGAAACTGTGGACAAAATTTTCAGACCAAGAATGTGGCCAGAACAGGGGAGAATAGAACCAGCTTCAGAGAAGGCTGACTTCAAAAACCCTTCATTCCCAGACTCCAGCTTCCTGAATCTGCTGGCCTTGCTTAATCCTCCCCCACTGGAGGACTTGGAGGCAGGATCTGGTCAGTTTCTGGTCACATGATATCCCTGAAGTTTCTTGCGCCCTAGGCTTTCCTGGATCACAGTCCTCCTAACCCTCCCCAGGTAGAACTGTCTCCCCTGACCCATCATCTCTTAGCTCATGACACAGGCCTCCAGTACTCAGGCTCCTAGTCTACCACTCACCAAGAGGTAGGGTCCCCATCCTATCAGAGGGTTTAATCATAAGTTAACAAACATACTAAATGAAAAAAAAAGAAACAACAAAACTAAGCATCTATTATGTGCAAGAAGCCATGGACTCAATGACCATTCCCTAGTAGCTCCTGCCCTTGTGGAATTTAACATTCATTTGGGGATAAGGCAACTGGTGTCTACAGAGTAATTTTAAGAGGGAAAGGAAACATATATTGGAGGAGTAGCACAGGTCTCCCCAGTGAGATGGAAGCTGAGCTGGGCTTCAAAGGAAGCTGGGGATTCTGCCTGGTAGAGGTGGGGAGGGCCTGCATAGCTATCTGAGGGGGCCACCTGTGCGAAGGCCTGGCAATAAGTGATGGGAGGCCATGTGCAGGAAGAGCTGGCATGCTGGCTTTACTAGAACAGAGAGGACACAAAGCTGGTTAATATGGCTTAAGACTGGGAAGGTAGGAGGGAGCCATATTGTGGAGAACATTAAATGCTAGGGTGAGGATTTTCTGTTTTATCCTAGAGTCAATAGGAAGCCAATAAAGATTTTTGAGAGAGTGACATGATCAGATTTAATGAATATCAATTTGGCACCCATATGGAAAAGGGAAAATTACAATAATTTCGGTTGATCTGGTGCCTTAGGATAATAAAAGTTTTTCTGTACTTTAGTTCTTCTGATCCATACTTTAAGTCCTGTGGGTTCAGTCATATATTAGGGAGAGGGTTAGATTAGATACATTCATCATGTCCTTCCAAGTCAGAGACTCCTTCATTCTGTTGGATATTTTCCATCATTTTGCCAACTCAGAGAGGTTTAGTAATCTGATCAAAGTCACGCAGCTACAAAGTGGTAGAAGTGACACTTAGCCAGGTCACACTCCCAGGCTGACAATCTTTGCCCAAATATCCTTGGCAGGCTTGAGTTAGTCTTTCCCAAAAGAGGCTAAGGTATCCTTAGCCCTCTGTCTTCTCTTTCTGTACTCATTTCTTCTGCCTGTATAAGTAGATATAGGCCTGTATGACTGTAAGGTTCAGAGTTTCCCACTAGACAGCCCTGTACCTCCCACATAACCATGGGATATTCTTTTTATAACAAAGGAAGTGGCCAAAGAGCTCCAGATTGATTAGAGGTAGTAGTTTAATTAATTTGAGTTACTTACATTTGGGGCAGTATGATGGATCCCTGCCAAGATATCAGTCATTCTTGGTCTATGGCAGCTGCTAGAGCAATCAGTGAATCCCTGGTAAGAAGCCCCAAATCCCTATGATAATTATAGAAAACAGACAAAAGCAGAGGAGCTAGAGAGTGCATCACTATTGATTGGCGGATAGTTTTGGTTTTCTGCTTAGAAATGATCTTGGGAGGTAAGCCAGCATTTGCTCAAACATAAGTCTGTGTATCTATCATGTCCTGGTCACACATAGGTCACAATATTCTTGCTTTGACTTTCATATTTCATAGTATCAGAAGTTATGACACAGTGTCTAAAATATTATTCAATATCTAAATTATGATTTCTAACAGGTCACCATGTCTGGGCTTCCAACTTTCACAGTTTGAATTTTTATGGCTTTTCACTTATTATCATATTTTATGACTTTTTCCCAATGATATAGATGATGTATAGAGATGATACAGACATCAGTATCAATGATATAAACATACATGACTTAGATGATGCAACATGGAATAATGAACAGAAAAGGTCTAGCATTTTGTGGATTTGTTTGCATGCTGTCTCCATATTAGATGGTAACCTTCAGCACTTAGCACAGTGCATAACACATAGCAGGCACTTAATCAATGTTTATTGATTATCGATTGACCCAGTAGTCAAGAAACCCAGGATGGAGTCCAGTTGTTGATTCATGCTGCCCATGTGATACTGAATAAAGTGCTTAACTTCTCAAGGATGGAGGCACCTCCATACAAGTATACCTTGCAGAGAAGTTGCCAAGCTGCCTGGGGAGAAGATTTTGGTGGGGAGCTTCTCACACCCAACTCAGTCTGCATAAGAGAGTAAGATAGGTAGCTAGATAGAGACAGATAGACATGGATGGTGGATAAACAGACAGATAGATCTGTGTCATTATCTATAGAAACCTGACAGCTAGGGAGTACAGAGGATAGAGTACTGGGCCTGGAGCCAGGAAGTCCTGAGTTCAGATCCTGCCTCATTCATTTACTAGCTGTGCTACTATGAATATATCACTTAACTGCTGATTGTCTCAGTGTCCTCATCTGTAAAATGGGAACAGGACCTCCCATCAGTGCTATTAGCTCATAGAACCTACCTCCTAGTGCCGCTATGAGGATAAAAATGAGATAAGACACTCAATAAATGCTAGCTCTTATTATTATTAATATTGTTATTATTAATACTATATTGTATCTACCGTGAAAATATTAACACCCTAAGAACAGGCCCTTTCATTTCTATCTGCAGGACTTAGCATTATTCTGTTTTGCCCATAACTCACTGATTGGTTTGTCATTTATTCTTTCCTAATTGATTGGATTTGATAGGTTTATTGATTGATTGGAGAGAGAAGAGACCAGAAGCAGAGATTCCAATAAAAAGACTATGGCAATCTCTTAAGAGAGAAGTCATTGGCCAAGAACTGAATGACTCATTCTCCAGCTTCCTTATTTCTGTCTTTGAGTCAATCACTCTTCCCTTCATAGACTTTGATTGGGCACACAAATTGACCCAGATCCATATTCTGAGAAGTAGCCAGGCTTGGTCGAGATCATTACTTCAGGGCTTTAGCTTCTGACTTTTTATGTATGTCTGGGATGGGAATATGGGCACCAGAGCAGGCACAATGTTTGCCTCCCCAATGCCCAGGATAACTCCAGTGACCTCACCTAAGGACTGACTGGATCCATTCACCCAGGTTTTTCTCAAAGACCCTGGCTAAAGGGCTGTCTAGCCTTGTCTATGTTCACTGCCTCCTTGACTTCATACCTTCTGTAGTAGGGGGAGGTAGTGGGGCAGGTACATGAGCAGAGTCAGGTGAGGGACTCTGAGCTCCTGCCATCTCTACCACCTCCCTAGGGCTTGGAGCTCTCTCCTTCTTACAGGGATCTAGTCCTGGGGCACAGACAGAAAATTTCCCTCATTTATCCACAACCAGCTGCAACCATTCACTAAGACAGACACTAAGCATGAACTTCTCTATGACCTTGAAGTCCCTGATTTGGGGACATTAAAGAGGAAGACATGTCCCCAGGATCAATCTCAGGGGGTGTGACCTAGTCTGGCTGACAGGGACCTGAGATGAGTCTCTTACCAGACCTGGGGTTCTTTTTCATATGGAGACTCAAGGGAGTGTCTGCTCCAGATATAAAAGCCTCCTCTTCCTGCCTGTCTTAGGGCTGAGGGTGCTCTGTCTACAGATCTCCAAGGGCCAAGATGATTTCCTCCTGTCTGCTTCTCTGGCTCTTAGAGTTCTGGGGTCAGGGTAAGACTGAGCAGATCAGTGAAAAAGCTTCAGGAGTATAGGCTTTCCCTGGAAAATGAAACACAACAAAACTTATGATTCCCTCAATCCATTGGGTGTTCTCCACAAAATTGTGTTGTTCTTACAATTTAACACGGTTGTTCACATATTTCTTTCTTGATCTAATTCTTGATTCTTCCTAGATTCCACTAGGCCATTGTGCTGACCCAGTCTCCAGCCTCCTTGTCCAGATCTCCAGGGGAAGGAATTACCATTACCTGCAAAGTCAGTGAGAGCCTTATCTATGGGGGAATTTTTACATTTGACCACTTAAACTGGTTCCAGCAGAAACCTGGACAAGTCTTCCAGGCTTCTCATCTCCAATTTTACCGGCATGGCATCTGGAGCACCTGCCCAGTTCAGTGGCAGTGGGTCTGGGACAGATTTCATTCTCACCATCAGCAGCCTGGAGCCTGAGGATGCTGGGATTATTACTGTCAGCAGTATAAAAACTTCCCATTCCCACAATGCTTCAGCCCTGACCAAAAACCTCCCCAGGCTGTTCAGGGGATTCAGATCACAGCAGCATCTGCTTCTTCAATGGTCCCCAGGGCAGAGCAGCCCCTGCTCTCTAGGCAGGCTCACATCTCCTGAGGCTTCCCCTTCCCCTGTCCCCTACCCCAGTTCCTCATTCTTTTATCAGAGGCATCACATTAACAAATCACAATCTTGTAGCCAAAGCAAGTTGGAGATAGAACAACCCCATGGAAAACACCATGGTAGGGATTTGCTGATGAATCAAGTTCATTTGAAATGTTTTGTATCACATTAGGAAACTTCCTCTTATTGTGAGTTCAGGTTTGTGTTACAGAGTCGTACTGTGCTTCTGTGCAACCCTGGACATGTTACTCATCCTCTGTTTGCTTCAGTTTCCTAATCTGAAAAATTGGCATAATAGTGGCACCTACATCACAGGGTTGTTGTGAAGATTTAATAAGGTAATATAAAGCACTTAGCACCATGCCTGGCACATAGTAGGTGCTATGTAAATGCTTATTCTCTTTCCTTTCCCCTTTTCATTCAGTCCTGGAACAACCTACAAACCACTTGTCTTCTAGAGTTGGTTTTCCTATTAGCTGTGTGATAGCTAAAGATGTAAGGTGAATCAAAGTCTTCCCTGGTGTCTTGCCATTCTTTGGTTCTAGCCAAGAGTTAGCCAATGTAAGGGCACTGACTTTTCTTATAGTCCAGTCACTTCAATATCACTATCTGGTCATTCACTGTCCCATTCATAATTCATTCATTCAATCTTGATTAATTTATTGGAGAGAGACTGGAGACAGTGAGAACAAATATGGGACCACTGCCATCCTTCAGGAGAGGAATGGTTAGCCAGAAATGAAAGACTCAGCCTCCAGCCTCTCAGCGTCTGCCTCTAAGCCAATCACTCTCACCTCCGTGGTCTCCCTTTGGGCACACAGACTGACCCATATCCACATTCCAAGTAGAGGCACAGACAGGCATGAGATGGAACATACCTGTAGTCCTATATTTGCCTCCTTATGAGGTATGTCTGGAATGGGGCAATGCAGATCAGGGTGGACATAATATTTGCCTCCTCAATGCTCAGGACAACCACAGTAACTTCATCTAGTGAATGACAGGACCCATTCACCTTGGAATGACATTTTCCTAGGTCTTTCTCCATGGGCCCTATCCAAGATCTGTTCAATCTCAACCAGACCCTCCTCATTGCCCGCTTGAATTCACACCTTCTCCATATGCTAGTGGGGCAGGTATAGGAGCAGAGGAATGTGAGGAACCCACAAAGCCTTCCAGTTGTGAGTTCTTGCTATATCTGCCACCTCCCTAGGCTTTGGAGCTTTCTCATGGCTTCAGAGAATCTAGTTGTGGGGGACAAAGAGAACAGCCTCCTAGTTATCTATCACCAAATGTAGCTATTCCTCTATCAGACATGAAATATGAACTTTTCTGTGTTTCTGAGGTCCCAACTTAGAATTCATAAAACATGGAGACTCAGTCCCAAGGGCTTGTCTTAGCCAGAGTGGTTTATCTGATTTCTTAGTCCTTAAGATGAGCCTCATAGAAGTCCAGGTTCTCTTTCACATATGAATGATGGGGTGATGGGATCTAGATACTGAATTTTCCCACACAACCCTATCCTGAGGCATCTGGCCCATCCCAGCCCACCTAGATATTCAATATTCCTTTCAATAGCCTTTCATTGTGGCTCTCTGACCCAGCTCAGATCACTTAAGTCCTTTCACTGTCTGTACCTTGGCCCCCTAAGCTATTTACCACTCCTTAATCCCTTCCAAATCTTCTCACAGTCTTTTTTTTTTTTGTATAAAAGTATCAATCTCATTCCCATTAAGTTGCGGGTTCCCTAAGAATCTTGCCTTCCACACTGGTGTTACAGTAAACCTTGCTACTTTGACTAAAAGAAGACTTGAGTGGTTGAATTCTTTCCAGGAAGACCTCCATGTATCCTTACATTTCAAGATTCCCAGCACCCCACACTGCAACATGGAGACTCAAGGGAGTTTTCATAGGCCCTGCTTAGGGTATTAAAGCTTCCCCCTTTTTCCATATCTTACTGGGTTTCAGAGTGCTCTCTCTAAAGGTCTTCAAGAGACAAAATGATCTTCCCATCCCAACTCCTCTGGCTGTTAGTCTTCTGGTCTCAGGGTAAGACAACAAAAATTTGGAGCCATTGAGCAAAGCACAGATTTTTAAAGATTAAAAATCCTTGTGACTCCTCTATCCAGGAGGTATGGGAGGTTAGAGTCAGCTCTGA